CTGAGTGCCAGGAAAAGTCCACCAATTGTTCCCCTATCCCCCTCACCAGCTCAAAGACAATATTTTCCTCGAACCATTCTTGAAACTCATTTGGTAGTGATCACTTCTCTGTTCTAGCCTGAACAAAACACTTTTGCAGGCTTATTATCAATGACTCTGTACTCATACAAAAAACATAATGATATAATCAACTCTTCTTGTAGTAGACAAGCTGCGAACAGATCTCAATGATCTCCATCTCCTGGTGTCTGTGTCTCTGGATAATCCCCTCCCTCCCTTTGAATGTGGGTAGTGCCCATGCCTTGCTTCTGACAGTATCTGGCAGAGGTGACAGGATGTCACATCCAGGATTACATGACACTGAATAAGACTTGGTCTTGCTCTAGTCAGTCTTCTCACGAGCGCAGAAAAGCTTGTTTGGCAAGGAACAACAGGCAATTTCTAGGAACTCTGGGTAGTCTCCACCAATAGATATCAAGAACCTAAGGCTTTTGAGGTCCTACAACTGCATAAGTTCTGCCAACCTGATGAGTTCAAAAGTGATTCTTCTTGTCAAATCTCCAAGTGAGAACACAACCCAGTCAGTATCTTCATTGCAACTTCATGAGAGCACAAGCAGCAGGCAAGCCAAGTCACTAAACTGAGTTAACATCAGGCTACTAAATATATAGTTATCTGTTATACGACAATATAAAAACTAATACCTATATACCCACCATTTGATATGATAAACTTTATAACTGAAGCCCTATAAACCTTCCCTTTATTGTATTTCCCTTCCTAGCAAGCATTTCTTAATTTTCTTAGGCATATATTCAACATCTATAGCAGTTTTGTATGATTTTAACCTTCCTATTTATAAATGTATGCATAATATCCATGGTATTTGGCAGCAGTCTACCCTGAACATTTTACCACTGTCCATCCCTGACTCATTGCTCAAGGCAACACAGTGCTCCAAAGGGGACCAGCTCCTGCCACCTGGGTCATCAGCAGCTCATGTCCGTGACTTCACACCAATGGACCTTAGCACCAGAAAGCACCTTAGAGTTCAAATCCATCCCTTTATTTTGTAGTGAAGAAGTCTCTATGTCAGTGACATGAAGTGACCTGCCCAAGCCTCAAGGCAAATGGTAGACACAAGACTGGGTCACAGGCTTACACCCAGCTCTGGGCTTTCCACACTGAATCATCTGGTTATCAGGGTTTGGTGTGCCTGTCCAGGGTTTGGCCTGATTATTCTATGCACACCAGGATTCTATTAATTAGTAGTCAGTCACATTCAAATGGAGACTGTACAAAGGTTTGGACACCAGGAGCTGGAGATCATAAGGGGACCCCTCACAGTCTCTCCACTACTGTAGTTGTTGAATATGTCAGAACTTGTTTTAGGGGTGGGCTGTCACTGCTTTTGTCAAGTGATTCCTAATGTAAAGACCTAGACTGAGCCCTTCTGAGCTGTCAATTGTATTGATTCTCCCATAAATGGGGCCTCCCAAAGTAGGAGGAATTCAACAGTGTTAGAAATGCATCTAGGAGAACTTACCACATTTATTACAGCCTTTCCCACATTGGTATTTTTCATTTAGCAAAAACCATGTTGTGTTCAAGCTAACTAAGTCCCAGATGTAGAAATTTAAGCTGATTGTCTACTCTTACCCTCATCCCCGCAATGGAACCTCTTCCAGCACAGATGGGAGATGCCCCCAACCCCTGCCCATCCCATCTGGTGCTCATCTTAACACAGTGTTACCACGTCTTCCCTCAGGCTCCTCAACTGGAGCCTGTCTTTCTTCTGGGGAATCACAGCCTTTCCCTCCACTTCCTTCCATCTGTACCCATCTTTCCCCCATTTAAAATAGCTGAAAGCTTTATATGACAAGCAAAGTCTCACTTAATCCTGTGCAAATAGGCTGGGGGAGAGAAGCAAGCAAGGGTGGAAGGAGAACAGACTGGGGCTTGCTTCCAAAATCAAGTTCCCAGAGTCTCTGGAGCCCTGGAACATTAGAAGTTTCTTCCACATCTGCAAGACTGTTCATCCCAACCAACCACTCCCTGTTTCATCTGTCAGAATGAAGCAAAAGAGCAACACATCTCCATCAGAGACCAAGGCAGGATGCCAAGGATATCCCCCTCTGCTGCCCCGTGCTGCAGATGAGAGCAGGGGGTACATTACGGTCTGTCAGGGAACCCGGGGCTCCTCACCCATCAGCCCAAGTCCCTAGCACAAGCGCTGAGACATGGTGAGAATCTATTGTCTGGATGTTGGTGCCCACCCCTCCCCGAATTGATATGTTGGAATTTTATCTTCAGTATAACAACATTGAGATGAACCTTTGGTGAAGTAAGTCATAAGGGCTCTGCCCTGTCATGCTTGGGTTTAGTCTCCTTATAAGAGATGGAAAGTATGTTTGCCTGTCTGTGATGTGGAAACACATAGACTGTGCCATCCGTGAGAAAGATTTCCTCACCAGATACTGAATCCTCAGCACCTTGATTTTTTTTTTTTTTTTTTTTGTCTTTTTTTGAGACAAGGTCTTACTAAGCAGTTCATGCTGGCCTTGAGCTCACTTTGTAGCCCAGACTGGTCTTGAACTTGCAGTGATCTTCCTGCCTCAGCCTCCCCAATGCTGAGATTACAAGCGTGAGCCACTATATCCAGCTTCAGCACCTTGTTTTTAGCCTTCCCAACTTCTAAAATTGTAAGAAATACGTCTCTGTTCTCTGTAGATAGGAACACAAGTCTGTCATGAGATATCTCCTACTTGATAGGAGGTACATGTGTGTCCTTTCATGATAGCAGAGAGGTGTAAAGAATTAAGAGAAGACTTATCTGCCCCAGACTGCAGTTTAGAAAGTGCACGTCTCCCAGTCCTATATCATTCATGTAGTGTGACGGAGATGGGAACAGAGAGCCTTTGGCTGGTTTGCTGGCACAGACCCAAGTTCAAAATAACAGTGCAGGGTGCTCATGGCAGCTGACTCGAAAGTTAGGATCCCACTTTACCCCTACCTGTTTTTCCCTGATCACTACAAATGGGGACAAAGCTTGTCACCCTACAATGAGAACCATGCTGAGAGAAATTTCATGTGAGATACAACAAGCTGATGTAAGTTTGTGCAAAGCCCATCCTCTCTGTGCTTGGCTTTTGAGTTGAGGGTCAGAGGCAGGAGGGCCTTTGGGAAAGGTGAAGCCAGCGATAGGAGAAAAACATGCCACCAACAGCAGGCCAATCTTCTTTCTTCCCACCTTGGGACTGGAGCCAGCCTCCTTGGGCCACTGTGGTCAAGGCCAGTGGAATGACTGCCTGCCCTGGTCTGCTCTCAGCCATCCCTGATACACTCACCAGAGCAAAACAAAGGCTCCCCGTCCTGTGTGCCAGCTTCTCTCAGCAAAAGGAATAAAACGGCCCACTTATTTTTATCGCGAACTGATTTCCTGGGAAATGGACTGTTAGTTCCCCTAACATTAAGATAATAAGCTTGTCCCCCTTGGCAAATGGCACAGCCCCGGCACAAATACAAGCACAGAACTGTCAAGAATCCTTCCTCGCTGATGATGAAGAGCCTGGTAGCAGGAATAGGACCAAAACAGGAATTCAGGGGCAGGCCTGCACTTCCAACCCCAGCCTGCAGGAGCTGAGCCCTTGGTAGCCAGGGAGAGGCCATTTGTGCCCTCAGAGCCTCATCCTCTTCTCCTGGCTGGGGGCCTGGGACGTGCCCTGGTGAAGGAGATGAGCCACATGCTGAGTGAGGGTGTCCCTTGCTCCAGCAGAGGTGAAAAAACATGACTACCAAGCAGGCTCACAAAAGCAGAGGATTTCCAGGCTGGCCCTGCCACCACTAAAAAACACACAAAGTAAGTGGATATAGTGATAATGATCCCATGAAACCAGCGGGAAGCCTGTGTATCCTATAGGTGAAGCTATAGGGAGGAGGCAAGATAAGGTTGAGCTGGCTCTAAGAGAGGCCAGTGGTCCTAGACCAAAGAATGCTCCCCAGAAAAGTAGCCCTGCTGGTTCCTGTCTAGGCATTCTTTTGCCCCTGCCCTCTGTCTCCATCCCCCAGGACCGGACTTCTGCAGCAAGAGCTCTTGAGGACTTCAACAGTGAAGATCTGTCTGCATGGACTGTGAAATCTCCTCAGCCCTGGATAAGGGCAATAGTCTCACAGCCAAAATGGGCAAAGGGCTTGGCTCTGCGCAGATAAATGCAGAAGACAACACTTTCATGCTGAGTGAACTCTGTGAGGCATCAGGGTAGTCACACAATTGTCACATTGCCATGCTGTTCTTCACATGCTCCTTTCATCTAGGTTGTATGTTCTGTGAGTGCTAGGGTCTTGGCTGATACCTTTTTTTCTCTCCCAGGGAGCTTGGGCAGCACTGGATGGATAATGGGTGCTCAATGCTTCCCAATGATGAATCAGAATGGGGCAGCATGGCATGGCTCTGTTCACACTGGCACATGAGTATGTGATTTGCAGATCTATTTTTCTGCTTCCAGTTCCTTTGAGCTCTAGGCATGGACTGGATCATGTGGCATCTTCCTGTTCCCACCTCTGCTAACCTGTTCCTGATTCTGAGAAACACAAACAGTTGGACAGCAGACAGCCTCACTGAGAAAACAAGGGCAGCTCCCCACTGTCCTGACCTCTTGGCTTCTGAGGCCCTGGGAGTAGCCACTGTGGTCTGAGGATGAGGGAAACTGGACTCACACTATCTTTCTGTTCTGAAGGAGAAAAAGTCTGTCTAGAGACTCTGAGCATCCTTGGGAGGATTTCTCAATCTAGGAGAGGAATACCGCCTTTGACTGTCCCTTTAGGGCTCCCTGTGCTATCAGAACTCTTCTATACTGCTGGGCAAGTGGAATCATTCTGCATTTCAGAAGATACACAGGGGTACAAATACCACCCACACTACACTGAGGTTTCAGAAAAAGAGGAATGGATATATCTGCATCAGGAGGAAGTAATGGGACAAGTTGCCTGGGAACACTGAAGGATGAGGCAGAGAATTTTAGCAAGAGAATGAGTAGGACTAGCCAGTTTACTAATCAGCTGCCTTCTCTTCCTCCTTTTCCTCTTCCTTTGCCTTCTCCTCCTCCTTCTCTTCCTCCTCCCCTTTGCAGGAGCTCGGAAGCTCCTCCTCCCCAGCCAGCTCCATACACTGCTGCTCTGCCAGGAGGTGGCACGCCAGCTGTTCCAGGGCCTCCAGGCTCACCCTCTGCAGACGTTCCTCATGCTCCTGCCTCAGTAGCTGCAGCACTGCCTTGGCATCCTGGGGCCCAAAGTGTTTGGCTAGGACTCTATCCAGCTGGTGCCACAGGGGCTGGGCTTGATCCTGAGGCTGGAGGGCTTTGTCTGCTGCTGCTTTATCCAAGGGTCGCACAATGACATTAATGGAAGCATTGGGCCCAATGCAGTAGTCAGAGAGGCACTTGTTATCATCCAGGAGCTGGCCGCGGAACATCAGATGCTGCTGCTCCTCTGGCACCTGCAGCTGCTCAGACACCAGCTTCTTCAGCATGGCCACACTTTCTTGGCCTGACACCTTCAGGCTACATTTCCGTCCCAAGAGCAGCTTGACTGTGAGGAACATTGGGCCAGAGCAGAATTAGGAGGGATCCATGCTCTAGTTACTGCCCTGAAGACTACAGGACCCTGTAAGAGAAGGTAGCCCTATCACTGGAGGGCCAGTAATCCCAGGAGGCCAAGAGCCCAGCCCAGGTGTGCAACTACTGGCTAATGTGGAATGATGTCATAATGTTGTAGGAGGGATCATTTTTAGAGTGGAATTTAGGGACAGTAGAGGGACATTGTGGGCTCAGAGCTTTCTTCCTCCATGAGAGTAGAAAAGAGGGAAGAAGCGGAAAAAGGAATGGAAAGGGGAAAAATGGTAAGTCTAGGAGAATGGAGATTGGGGACAAAAAGGAAAGACTGGGAAGGACAAAGTGGCCCAAGGAATGTGTCCATTGATTTATTCAACACATATGTATTAGGTCCCTTCTCTGTTCCAGGACCTGCTCCCAAAGAGACAGTAACACCAAGACAGATACATTCTGCCTTCATGAAGCCATTGGACCAGTGAGCTGGCTCACCTTTATCAAGGGTCTTTTTCCTGTCAAGCACACAATAAGCTTTCTTGGAGGGGTTTCTCAGAAGCAAACCTTGGGCAGGAATATGAGTGCAGTCAGGAGGAGATCTCAGAAGGCATCAGTGGGGGGTGAGGAAGAGAGATCAAGGCAGGGGACTAAAACCTGCATCCTGAGCAGGCTGCCACAAATAAACATGAGCTATACCACCTGAGATCCAGAAAGCTGGATCTCTACACTCTGACTCCTAACTCCTGGTTGATAGAGTACCACCTGCTTGGTCCTCCAGGTCCTCAGATGTGCAGGGTATACTCTACCAACCGGAGAAAACCTTTAGACAAAGATTTAAAAGTGTCTGCAGTAAGCCGCCATCAGAACTTCAGGAAAATAACCCTCTGGGGACAGGGCAGGGCCATCAATTGTCTCTCTTTTACATCCATTACCTTAATCTTTACAACCTACAAGGCAGATACCTTCCTAATATTCATTGGCCAGGGGAAAAAGTAGTGGACACAGAAAATAGCATGCAACAGATACCCTGAAGACGCCCAGGATTCAAGGTAAATAAGGAAAAGGACATAGTCTTGGGGCTCTCCTGTGTTAGCACCTGTTGCATTTGGCAGATTTCAATGCAAACCCACTGTTGAAGGCTTCCTGGGTCACTGTCAAGGTCCTTCACTGTCATGGGTAAGACCTGAGGAAGACATTGTCTCAGTTTAGAAGAGAGCAATTGGAACAGACCTGGTTGCCACATTCTGTGCAGTTCTTGAAATTCCAGTGGGGAAGGACCATAGAGGATGAAGACATGAAGACAAAAGTCAGAAATTGGAAAGCTGAAGGCAGGTGAAACCCCTCTCCTGATGGGAGAAAAGGAACGCCCAAGGGCTGCCCAAGGCCTGGCTGGTTTATTTATACACTAGGGAAGTTGATGTCAGTTTCAACTTCCCTGCCTAGCAACTTGTTTGCCTGGATGTCTCCCTTTCTGGAAGCTGGAACAGCTTGTTTATATGGTTCCTCTGGGTTCCTTCCCATTCTTGGGTTGGCCTTGCTTTAGCCCCACATGTGTGACTGGTCTTCAGCTTCAGCCATTCCATACACCTGGCCAAAATCCCACAGTAGGTGGGCTGATTCTGTCAGGAACCCCAGGCACTCTGTGCTTACCTATTTTGTTTGCCAGCACCCATCCATTTATTTCACCCATCCCTGCCTTTCTTTCTGCCTAACCTTCTTTTCTTCCCCACCAACCTAGACTCTACAGGAACATGGCATTGTCGCCAACATCCTTAAGGTTGTCTTTTCTTTCTTTTTTTCTTTTCTTTTCTTTTGTTTCCTTTTTCTTTCTTTCTTTCTTTCTTTCTTTCTTTCTTTCTTCCTTTTTTTGAGATAGGGTTTAATTATGCAGTTCAGGCTGGACTTGAATTCACTTTGTAGCCCAGGCTGGTCTCAAACTCGCAGTGATCCTCCTGCCTCAGCCTCCCAAGTGTGCCACCTGTAAACTTTATCCTTGAGTTTTTCAAACTTGCTCTTCCACAACACTCAGCCCCTGATTCCTGCCCCAAGGTTGCTCCAGAGTTTACACTTATCTTTTGGCTCTGGTAATCAAGGTCAGCTAAAGAAGACACCCAGAGAGGCCATAAATTTAGCCTATCCTTATCCCTTCTTCTACCTTCCCTGCTTGGCAGAAGTGATCCCATATCCCTCTGTGCAAACATTACTTCCCTTAAACACACTTGTTTTGATGCATCTCGCACATCTGTCTTCCTCACTGGTTCTTAGAGGGAGGGACTGCTCTCATCCAAATTTGTGTCCCCTACCTCCAGCACACTAAGCCTGGCTCACAGATAGCCTTGAAAACATGTTTGTAAATATAGAAGGTGCACTTTAGATATGCTGAGCCACACACAAACATGCAAGATTCAGTACAGCAAGCCGTGAAATGACAGGAGCCTGCCTGTAATCTCTCCCTCACACTACTGCTTCCCCAAGAGAGATGAAAATCCAAAATTACATAAAAATAAATCAGAAAGTAACTCCAGTCTTTACCAAAGGATCTTCTACAGTATTTCTTTAAATAGTCACATCCCTGGGTGCATTTGAAATAAGGCCCTAATGTGAATGTACATACAGGGGGATGGGGGTGGAGACCATGATGGCAGGGCATTTGTGAAAAGGGAAAGGTAGAATGGATGAGGTTTCTCTGAGGCCATTTGGAGCCTCCCAGCCTCTGGAGAGGAGGACTTTGTGCTGGACAAACTATTGGATAGACAGGATTGGAATCAGCCTGTTGGGGATGTCCAAAATGAATAGAGCTAACCAAGGAAAGTATCCTGGAGCGTGAGGTTTGAGTCAATTTGTGAAAGGGACAGAAGAAGAGTGAGATGGGGAAGAGAGTGGCCTGTAATTTCTCTCCAACCTATGGGTCTTCTGAGGAATGGAACCAAAGCCAGCATTGTGGACACAGAAGAAATATCTCCAGCTTCCCCTTCTGAACTATCCACCCACTTGTGCACCGCCAAAAATAATGGCAGCCCCTGGTGAAATCATGTAGAACCTTGACTCATAGAAACATAACAGCCATAGCTCAGGCTGCATCTCTGTAAGGCCAGGGGCCACATGCACACGGGTGTCCTGTGATAGGGCCTTTACAAGTCACACTTTCCAAATCAAGGTACTTGGTCTAAGGAGCCCCAGTGTCCAAGGACTATGAGGGCAGAAGCTTCTGAATTAGTAGTGTCTAGAGATACTGAGAGAAATGGCCACTACTCAACTCCTGTATCTATGGCTAGAATTTTTGCTGCCCTCCAAGGGAGACAGTAAGGGCATCTTCCTGGGCCCTCAAAGTATATTTTAAGCCTGGAAATTTCTTAAGTTTGCTTCATGTAATTGTTTGTCTTAATTATGCAATGAACATGAAAAATTATAATTGTGTAATCAGACCATGCAATCAGGCAATTATTGTCATAATTAGCAGGGGATATCATCTGGAATGAGTGGGTTTTGTGATTGAGGAAAAGGAATAAATGCATGTTAGGTAGTAATGGGCTTGTATCCCTCTTGAAAACAACTGCAGATTCATCTAGTATCACCAGAAAACCAGCACAATATCTGTCCAAGAATATGTGAGGAGGTAGGGGAGAATTTTGGGATAGATCTGTGGGCATCCAAGCTCCTACTGCCCTTCACAGTGTTCTTGAACAGGTTATCTGAACCTGGGTTCACTGAGGATGTGAACTCCATAGCGTAAAAGCTAGGGGTTCACCTGCTGGCCTAGGGCCTGCCTTGAGCTAGGTCTCATTTTGCTCTGTCTAATGGGAATGTGATCATTGCCCAGCCTCCCTCTCAGGGTTGCTATGAGGGCCAAAAGTAGGTCATAGCTGCAGGACCTAGCACAGTGCCTGATATTAAAAGCAAATGGAAGTGGAAACCCTTACTTTCGGCCTTGCAGCCATGGGAAGGATTCCACTGGGCCTAGAATAATGCCCAAAGTATGTTTCCTCATAGGTTTTCTGCCTGCCCAAAGAGGCAGGCAAAGCAGTTTTCTGCAGGCAGGACTTGCCAGAGAGAGGAAAGTGAGTGGAAAATACCTGCTGATAGTTGAAGGGTCACCTGGGCAACAGGGAGTTCACTCAACTTCCTGGGGCTGCACAAAGGCTCATCAGGAAAATAAGTTATGACTTCTGCCCACCTCACTCCCTGGAAGTTACCCAGTTACTGTACTTTGGTAATCTCAGGCAGCCTTGCAGGGGGCTTCTGGGGCAATGACTGGGAGGCAAGAACAAGAGCAAGATGTAGGACCAGTGGGACAGGGAGACAATCAGGGCATAAGAAAGCCAGGGCAGGTAATGCTTATGCAGGAGCGACCACAGAGAGGAGAGAAGGAAAAGTGGGGCTAGAGAAAAGGTACAGGGTGAGGGTGTCCTTTGTCCTCAGTCTAGAAAAGTTCAATGGAATAGCTTGAACAGAGAAAGTGGAATACCACAGAAGCTCTTCATCACATAGGTTAGAGCCTCCTGTTATTCCTGACACTCACTGATGCTTCCACCACCCCACAAAACCCTGCTGGTGATGTACCTACTGCTTGCAAGTCTCTGCAGAAATATCGCTAACAGTGGTAAGATCTTAGACAGCCTGTGGCAACAGCTGCCCTGTGACTACCTTGTGCTACTCTAGAGGCACCAGGTACCTTACCCCTTTGAGGAAAGATGTCTTGAGGCTGCTTTGTGCTCCTCCAGGCCTAGCTCAAAACAAGCAACTCTTTAGGTGTCCCTTGGCTGGATGGGGGGCCACTGCAGCCCAGAGAATGCTCTGGTTCAGATCACCTTTTTATGCTTGGGCACCATAACATCTGTCCAAGCCTTGGTCCTTGTACCAGACAACCTAAGTCCTATCCAGTGTTGCTGTCCTGAATCCCTGGAGAAGTCGAACATTAGCAGGGGCAGCTGGGAACCAGAGCAGAACTCTTACCTCCTGGAAAACCACATGGGCCTGAAACCTGCTATGACCACTAGATGTCACTGGTGACCTCCTTGGCCAACTCTAGCAGCCAAATAATCAAGCTTTTGACTTGGACACGAGAAAATAGACTGCAGGTCCAGAGCCTCAAAAGGATTAAGTCCCCTCCTCTGGAAGACTTGCAGTCATT